CTCCTCAGCGGAACCCCGGCGTCTTCATCGGGGTCAGTAAGAAAACCACCAAACGCTGCTGTCGGGTCAGTTTCTCAGCCTCATAAACAAGCTCCTGTGTCTGTAATTATAACTAATATATGGGAGGATCAGACAGGGATGAACAGATGTTGGAGCAAAATGAAGATACACAGAGCACAACTGTGCGGTATAAAAACCAGAGTTTATACGGTGCAGCTGGCTGCAGCGCGTTCTTTTCCTAATTTTTAAATTTTATTTACAAGGTGTGGCATCTGGCCTTCTATTGTCAAACCTCAGTTTTGCTTGCAGCTAATTTTCTCCGGATACAAAGAGGCTCAGGCAATGCTGGTAAGAGACCTAACTAAAACTCCTCTCTGAAAAAGACAGCCCGGGAATTAGAAGGGTGACCCAGAGTGGCCATCAGAGATAAATGGCCTGAACGGAATTTGTCTGCATTTCGAATCGGGCTTGGTGCTCTCCCGGAGCTGCCGAGAAAGCCCGTGCCAGTCAAGCAGGTGGACGAACGGCTTCCCCCCAGGAGCCCACGAAAGCAGTGCTATATGGAAGCAGGCAGGAAGCCACACAATGTAAGCAAATGTATGCCATTAACAACAGAGAGGTCTGACCTAAATGCACCTCGACCCTGACAGAGCCCTCGGAACTGTCCTTGTCCGGCCGGCAGATTCCAGGCGGCGCCGGACCCGGGCCTGCAGAACCCAGGTGGCAGAATCACGGGCGCCGTGGAAGCACCGACCAAGGGTCCCGGAATTCCCGCTGCTTGGGTTCATTTTGTTTTCCTGGTACCTAGTATTTAAAACATTTCGGTCGGGAAACCCAGAAGCTTCCTTCATCCTCAGCCTCGTGCCACGCTCTGACCATGGCTTGAGTGGCAGGGAGGCACTCGGGTCAAGCGCAAGGCTCTCGTCGGAGTCGCTTTGGTGCAAGTTGTCTACCAAGCTGTGCTGCTGATTGGGAAAATGGTTTAACCTCTTCTCTAAACCTCAGTGTTTCATCAACACCGGGGTTACTACTGCTACTGCTACCACCACCACCGCCACCACTAATCTAATTGAAACAGGGTGTGCGAAGCTTGCAGCCTAGGCCTGGCGCATAGTAAGTTGTTACAAAGTATCTCCTATTTAATCCTATTTTCCTTCTGTGCCTCAGCTACGATAGAGATGAGCAGCAATCTTGCTTATGGGCCTTATTTATCAAAGTCACTGTTTTATGAATAAAATTTTTCTCTTATCAAATCCCTGCTACTGCTTCCAAACTCAAAGGACCCCATTTCAGAGAAGCGCGGCGTGAGCCCCCACCCCGCTCCGAGCCCACCCCTAGCCCACCCCTAGCCCACCCCGCTCTGCGTGACCACAGCAGAGAGAGCACGCGTGCCCGCGATCCCAACGCTCCCACGCGGAGCCGGCGCGGTCCCGGGTGTCCGTGTGCGCACGTCTTCCCTGCGACGCTGAGCTCATGCCCGGGGCGGCGCTTGCTTTTGAACTCCCGCTTCCCGAGCGGTTTCCAGGGCAAAGCCAAGGCTAGAGATGCCGGCCAGCTCGGGGGCACCAGGACGCACCCCCCTGGAGTGAAAAGGCCACTTGCCGCTCGACTCTCACTCTGAGCCGAGGTTTAGCTCCTCTTCGCCCATCCCCATCTGTGCTCTTAGCGATGCCTCCTGTGGCCTTAGCGCCCGGGGTGGACGGGCAGGCTGCACGGCCAGCCCCTGCCGCCAGCGTGTGGCATCGGGGCCTCCAGCTGCCCACAGCATTAAGGGGCCACCCCCCTGACGAGAAGCATTGCTTCTCCGTAAAGAAAATATTTCTCAAATCAACTAGCAGCTCCTGTGGCCCACAGCAATTTAGGAAATTAGCAAATGCTCCTTGTTCCTCCCACAGACTCTATTTTATTATTGGATTAATGTGCAAAAAGCCCCTATTTTGTATCACCAAATATTTACTTTGGAGAAGTTTGCTGGTTTTATCATGGATTTGCCTTGTACTGTCAACAAATTACTACATTGTGCATAATGAACCGTGGAAGTCAAGAAAATACACACTGGGCCAGACTTGTTGGGAGCACTTTTTTCTTCCCTTCTTGCTTTCAGGCAGGGACGAGTGAAGAATTCACCTCCGGCCACTCACTGGCTACCTCTTGCGATTCTGTCTCATAAATCATGCGGAAATTTAACTTATTTTAAGCATATGGTCTGCTTTAAGAGTATGGGCCAGGTGTCTGTGCCCAGGGTCCAAGGTTGGACTCGGTTCTTTATCAGAAAGAGCAGTTAGGACTCCTCCGCGGAGTCCACGGTCAGCCGGCAGCGGTGGCGGGGCCACGGGGGGCTGCGCGGTGGTCAGGGGCCCTGCGACAGCTCGGAAGGCACGTCCAGCAGCTACATAAACAGTGAAACACATTCTCCGTTACAGTCGCCCCTCGCCACTTCACGCTTCGAGTTCGCGGCTTCACTCTACCGCGGGATTTTCAATATGGTTTGGTGTTGTATAATATGGTATGGTATTCGTATAATATGGTATGGTATTGTATAATACGGTACGGTATTCGTATAATATGGTACGGTATTGTATAATATGGTACGGTATTTGTATAATGTGGTACGGTATTTTATAATATGGTACGGTATTGTATAATACGGTATGGTATTTGTATAATACGGTATGGCATTTGTATAATATGGTATGGCATTTGTGTAATATGGTACAGTATTTGTATAATGTGGTACGGTATTTTATAATATGGTACGGTATTGTATAATACGGTACGGTATTCGTATAATATGGTACGGTATTCGTATAATATGGTACAGTATTGTATAATACGGTATGGTATTTGTATAATATGGTATGGCATTTGTGTAATACGGTATGGTATTTGTATAATGTGGTACGGTATTGTATAATATGGTACGGTATTGTATAATACGGTATGGTATTTATATAATACGGTATGGCATTTGTATAATATGGTATGGCATTTGTATAATGTGGTACGGTATTGTATAATATGGTACGGTATTGTATAATACGGTATGGTATTTGTATAATATGGTATGGCATTTGTGTAATACGGTATGGTATTTGTATAATGTGGTATGGTATTGTATAATACGGTATGGCATTTATATAATACGGTATGGCATTTGTATAATATGGTATGGTATTTGTATAATACGGTATGGTATTTATATAATACGGTATGGCATTTGTATAATACGGTATGGCATTTGTATAATATGGTATGGTATTTGTATAATATAGTACAGTATTTGAAAAAGCCATGAACGTCGAAGCGCGATGTGGCGAGGGACGGCTGTATACTTGTCATGTCTGGTGGAAGCTTCAAGGGCCAGAGCACGAGTCCTACACTGTCTATCACATATGTCAAAGGGACCTTCCGTCAACCTGAGTCCCCGAGTCAGAGTCCTCCCGCCAGCCTGTGGGGCTTGTGCTGGCAGAACAAGCCTGCGTTGTGTTGAGCCTCTGAGATTTGGAACCTGTGCTGAGTGGCGACCCCGTGGGTCCTGCTGACACACGGAGGAGGAAGCAGAAGAATGAGGATGCGAGGGAAGCAATGGCAGGAGGAAGGACCTGCTGAAAGGAGACAGGAGACACGCAGGCTGGCCCGGGAGATGGCTCACGCTCGGACTGCGTGGGTGAGGCGGAGGTGGCAGGGAGCCAAGGGCAGGGCTGGCGGAGGTTTATTGACGGCTGAGAAGTGAAACACAGAAGAACCACCAGAACACACACACGCATGCACACACGCGCACGCACACACCTCCTAGCTTGCTTCCATCCCTCGCCTTTACATTGGCCACAGCAACCGTACGAATACCCACCCTGTCCCCACAGAATGAGAATCCAAAAATACCTCGCTAACCTCAGACTCTTAACGCCCTCTTTCCTGTTTCCTTCATCTGGCATCCTTAGTTATGAAACACACAGATTCGGAAAAGGAAACTCATTTATTAAGAGTTGCAGGTGTTTAGCCCTGGCCGGTTTGGCGCAGCGGTTAGAGCGTTGGCCTGCGGTCCTGAGAAACCCGGGTTCGGTTCCCGCTAAGGGCGTGTGCCTCGGTTGCAGTTTGTCCCCGGCTCTGGTTGGTCGTGCGGGTGGCAGCCACTCGATGTGTCCCTTTCACATCAATGTTTCTCTCTCTCTCTGTTCCTCTCTCCCCCTCCTACTCTACCTGAACAAAAAATGGAAAAATGTCCTCGGGTGAGGGTAATAAAAAAAAAAAAAAGAGTTGCAGGTGTTTAAAAACATCTCTTATTGGTAACTTTCTACATTTTCTAAATTTTCTGTAGTGAACCCTTTCATAATCCAAAATCAAAAACAAATGGACATCACCGACTTAAAACATTTTGATATAAAAATAAAAGCTGACTTGTCGGTGCTCGGCTGCCAAGGCCGACCTTAGGCGATGGAAGCAGCTACAGCGATCACAAAACCCACATCGCTTTGAGAAATAGCCAAACTCAGGCCTGTAATGCTCCCAGTTGACTGTAAGATCATGTCACCAACAGAACACCAGAGGACAAGTTTACAGAATTTTTTAACGGTGTTGAGTTACTGTCAACATTCTGTTCATTTCCCTCCATTCTCTCCAGCGCGTCCATTTGAAGGAAGCCATTTCCACTGGGGAAGAATAAAGGCTGAAAATGTTAGACGAGCGTGACCCCCTATAAAACATTACTTTGACGTATTTCTCAGGCGACAGGGCGTGGGATTGCACTGATGGAATAAGAGCTGCCGGAGGGCCTTCCAGAGTGTGCAAGTTCTTCAGGGCACTTGCATCTGGCTGCAGATTTGGAAGAACACCATCCTGGAGCTTGAAACCAAAACATCCAGCATCTGAATTTCAGGACGTGGATACAAATTATTCATATTTTCACAGCACCTTGTACGGCCTGTCGTTGCCCCCTGTTTGCTGGCATCCGTTGCCCACTCGTCTGCTGCATCAGCTCCGTGTCCTAAGTAAGCGAGAGGTGAGGAGGCTGGGACCTGGAGGGAGCCATGGGTCCTCGAGTGAGGGTAACAAGTACAACAATGAAGACTCCAGAGCTAAGGTTAGTGATCCCACCGCTTTTATAATCATCTCAGCTTCTCAGACTGGGCTGCAGGACCTGCCAGCCACTTGACTTCTGTTAACTCCTCTGTGCCCTGGTATCCACGAGAGAAACTATGATCCTCAGAGTAAACACGGGCAAACCGAAGCCGAATCAAACTGAAGAGACATGCAGTCTCAGACACCTAGCAAGCGAGTCTCGAGACCAGGCCAGTCTTAACTTCCACGTCCATATGCTACACACTATCCAGGCTGCCACTGGGGGGCGCACCCGAAATTGTGTTGCAAGCTGATGTGGAGAAGATGAGCAGTAGACATTTTCACACTGTCCTTATGGGTCCTACACATTAAACCGCAAGAACCAAAGAACACGTGTCACCTATTAAGGGAAGATAGGAAAAATAAAACACACAGGACTTCTATTTAGCTGGCAATTATTTTTCCCAGGTTTATTTCATTTACTCCAAGGCAGTCTCCTGTTTTGTGTAATAAAAAGGGCTAGAAAAGAGAAACTTTAGGTTAATTTGGAAGAAGAAAAGGTAAATGGATATGGTAAATATGGTATGGTGTTTGTTGGTTTGTTTTGCCCTCAGACTTGGAAAATATAAAGACAAATAAACAGAGAAACAAAAAAGATGAAATCTTGCCATTTGTGACAACATGGATGGACCTTGAGGGTATTATGCTAAGTGATATAAGTCAAACAAACAAACAAAAAAAAAACCCCAAAATTATATGATTTCACTCATAGAGGCATATAAAACAAACAAAAAAGACACAAAACACTCAGATATGGACAACAGAATGGTGGTCACCAAGGAGAAGGGTGGCAGAGTGAAGTGGGTAAATGTCGGTGACAGAGAAACTGGACTTTCAGTGGTGTCTACAGATGCTGAATTATAATGTTGTACACCTGGAACTTATTTAACATTATAAATCATTATTACCTCAATAAAATTATCAAATTATAAAAAAAGAAAACTGGTGTAAAAACTCAACATATTGGGATTCTACTCCTGTGGGAGGGGGGAGGAGAGAGCTACCAACATGAGGCTGGTGTTTGGCATGATTCCATAAACCTGTGCCCTGTGGTAGGGGATTGTCCCATGGGTCCACAGGCTTGAAGTTATGGGGTTGTGGGGGGACTGGTTTCAGTGGAAACTGCTGGAAGTCCATCCAGTCTGTCTTCTCCTCCCCTCACAGGAACAGAATTGTAGCAGGGCCCCCATGTGCTCAGCCAGACATTTTCCAGACCCCCTTGCCACCGGTCGGTGAGGAGACAAAGTTCTCACCTGCTGAATGTGACCAGAAGTAATGCATCTGGTTCTTAAAATACTGGGTATGCTTCCTCTTCTCTTCTTCCCTCTGGCTAGAACTGGGTATTATAGCAACCCAGCTTCAACCATGAGATGGTGACACTCCCCAGGTGTAAAGAAAAAATGATTTGGCAGGAACCCAGGTCCATGCACAACCATGTGGAGTGGGACTGTCCTGCCACACCAGGCTGCTGACATGGGGACATATATTCCTTTGTTCAGACAGCCTCCTGCATTGTTGGGTTTCTTCCTTACAGCAGCAAACCCTTACCCTACTTTAATACAGCAAATTGATGTAGGACACCCAAAACTTGGCTCACCTGAAGCATCCAAATTATTCCCCACAAACAGACCAGAAATTTATAAACAATGCTACAAACCGTAGACTTCACTGAGAGAAAGTAACTCTCATGAATTAAATCATAGGAATCTAAAATCACTTTTTGATCAAAATTCTAGCCTGCTTTTGACCTACCAGTCATGCAGTGGACACTATGTCCATTTTGTGCTAGAAGTAGGTTCTGTTCTCACGGTCTCCTCGGTGGCCACTGTTCTCACGCCACATCACACGAAAGGCCGTTCTGTGACAGATGGAAGCCTGACTTCAAAATTTCATCAGTTGCCATTTTTTTCTCCAAATAGCAGCCTGAACCACAAACTAAACCTAAGGTTTATTCCACTTAATGTTGGTCTATAATAAATCTATTTTGTCAATCAATTTCTTTAAAGCATTATTTATTAAAAATAGAAGCATAAAATCAGTTTCTTAAAAAGTATGTGAAGAGGCAACTTCTCCCTCTTTGGAGCACCTCTCCCTCCCCCTTTTCGTCCCCATAGGCCCAGGTGCCTGACCTTTGCCCTCCTCTCGCCTGAGCTCCAAGGGCCCTTCTTGTGCTTCTCTGACTTGTTTTCTGAGCCCACGCAGCCCAGGTGGCTCACTCTTCTGCCCAACTTTGTAAATAAACTTTCTCTTATAATTTGAAACATATATATATATGAAGATATACAGTTGTAAAACGCCAAGAGATCAAAATGATGTATCTATTTTCACATCCATATCAATATCTCTGTGTTCTGTCATAAGCATGGATTCTCTCTCTCTCCCCTCAACTTTTCGTGGTCTCTGAAGAGACAACCACGCATGTGTTTAAAGTTTCTGAGACACAAACTCATTGAAAGAGCAAGCATTTAAAATTCACAGGGGCAAGGTGAACATCTGGAATGCATTCCAAAGAGGCAGAAATTATGAAATGAGAATGTTATGAATAGCTAACATATTGCAAGACATGAATCAGTGGACAACCTGTTTCCTAGATTCTTTGGGGGAATACTAATATTTGAAAAGAAAATGCACAAGACTGCAGAACACTCCGCTGCCTTGGGAAGAAACAGGGTTTACACCATCACCTCTCGGAGGTAAGCGTTTGCATTTGTTTAAATGTTGAGAATGTCTGCACTCTCTTCTTTCCTCCTACCTGACGTGTTGCTGAGGCAGATCTTTCGATAACGAGGAGTGTTTTCTTCACCGGGGAAGTGGGATTTTCACACTTGTGCTCTGCAGTAGCGAGTCTCAGCCCCACAGTTTATTTTTGTAATAATTAATAAAAGAGCACACTTCCCGGCTCCCTTGCCCCCCCCCCCCCCGAGAATGGCTTGCTGCCGCCTGTCTGGGTGCCGTCGTGGGGAACCCAGAAATGTAGATGAGAGCCCGGCTTGGGAAGAGCAGCATGAGAAAGTTCATGTTCCGGCTGAGTGTTCACTCGTCCAGTGGACCCTCGAATGTGCTGTGTGGCGAGACAGAGATGGGTAGGTACAGGGCCTGGTGTTGACACATTCGAACAAACTGTGTCTGTTTTATTAAGAGAAAAAATAGTCCTCCTATTTTCTTTGAGGTGTGAGGAAAAGGGACTCACTTAGGGGCAATGAACCTGGCAAATGTGTCTCAAACTAAATAGAAAAAGCAAAGGATTCACTTTCGGGAATAGGAGAGTTGTTCATACATTTCACAGATATTTATGGAGTGCCAGCCAGGTGCCAGGCTCTATTTTGGGCACTGGGGATATGGCTATGAGTCAGACAGACAAGCCCTGAATGCCAAGAGGCCAGAGCCGTCGGGGAGATCTTCAATGCCCCCGGCACATCATTTATTCATTTCCATCCACGGAAGTCTAAGAACTGGTGTTCGAAAACTTCTACAGCCTGTCTCATGGGCAGCAAAACCCACCTGCCTCCGACTCTGCGTCATCTCCATCTCCATCATCATCTTCAGCAGCAAACACGGCAGGAATGCTCAGTGAGGACCAAGCCTCATACTCAACACTGTTCTCTCAACTCCTCTGCTCTTCTCAACGGTCCCGTGTGTTTGGTGGTGGTATCTCCATTGCACAGATGAGGGTGCTGAGGCAGAGACATGCAAGCAATAACTTTGCACAGAGTCATGCAACTTGTAAGAGAGAAGCCCAGGACGAGGACACAGGCAACTGGGCTCCTGAGCCCACAGCCCTCTTTAGCTCGCTCCATCTCCCCAGTGTGCCAGGAGACCCTGGTTTCCAATGAGTCCCGCCTCCTGCTGTCTCTGCGTGGTGGTCCATGCTGTGTGCTCTGCCACGCCCTGGGACACTTCTCCTATTAGGACAGTGGAGAACCCTTCCTACTAGACCCAGGATCAAAGATGGAACGGAAGACCCCTGCAGGCCCTCTGGTTATCCCGTCTCCTCATCCAACACACGCCCCAAAAGGAATCTACCCATTTTCCTGTGCGTCGTCTAATGAACAGAACCCGAGTCCGAGGGTGACATCGAAAGGGAGAGAAGGCCCTGCCCCAAACGTGAAACGAGGAAAGGAAGCATGCAGTGTTCCATCTGAGTTCACGTAAATAAACGTGTCCGGTCCGTGTTGCCTGGGAACCCCGAGGCAGGTCCACTGGCTTTTAACTTGAAGAGAAGGCATCTGGCATGTAGCACAGGCCTCTTGATTTAACAAGCCGTTCCTTAATGTTCCCACAGTCAGCATTTTGTTTGAGAGACAAACCCCTGGCAGGGAGGACAGACAGCAGTAATGATCACCACCGGATACAGGGGAAACTGAGGAAGGAGAAAGAGAAAGTGAAGTACTGCAGACACACTAGAAGTTAGGTTCCCACCCGTCAGGGTCCTTGCTCAGTAATGGAACCTCCTCCGGGAACATGCCCCTTCATCAACCATGTTTCTAAAGCACCCAGCCCCTGGGCAAGGTCACCCTGGAGCCAGAGGCCCGAGCAGCCCTTCTCTGGCCCGAACCCTGCACACCCGGCCCCCTGGGGCCGCAGCATGTCCCCACACCGCCCTGCGGCTGGAGGCGCGGCACCCGTCTGGAGTAGCTAGACTTTTATCATTTGTTCACATTAATGCACTTGGCAATCACACAGAAGGGCTTTTAAATCTAATGGCTCAGACAATAACACAGCAGAATTACATGAGCATTTTCAAAATGATGGGGCTGTGACCCTTTTAGGTATGTCATGCTGCCTTAGCCGAAGACAAGCTGGAGTTGCAGCACGCAGACTTCGAGTCGGCTCCCCCTTTGCCGCAGAAATTCGTGCATGCACACGTGCACACACGCACACACACACACACACATGCAGGTGCAGGTTTCCATGTTTCCTTGGAGGGCGTGTGCGGCATGAGGTCTCCAAGGGAATCCAGAAACCCGCACCTGCACATGTGTGCGTGCGTGCGTGCATGTGCGTGTGCATGCGTGTTCGTTCGTGCATGCGCGCGTGCGTGTGTGCATGCACAAATTTCTCTGGCTGAACTCTGCTTTCTTCTGGAAGCTTCTGAAACCCCTCTCACTCTCCAGTGGCAGCTATCGAGAAGTTTATTTCCTAGACCAAAAATATACCCAGATTTTAGGCAACTGAGTTTGTAAAGCAAATCAGGAGTCTCTTTCCATCCAATGTGAGTGTGAGAAGATTATTTTTATTTTTAAATAAAAGTATAGGATGTCTACTACTTAGAGAATTAATGAAATACTTTCAGTTTCTCCATATTTATAGAGACTTTTTTTTTTTTTAACTGAACTACTTACAAACTCCATTTCCAGGTGAAACCATCTCTGGTCTTCTTATCAGTGTCAATAATTCCATTTGGCAGGCAGCGGCTAATTCTTTTCATGTGCTAATGATTAATCAGACAGGCCTATTTACTAATGTATCAGAATGCATTAGAAACATAAGGTAATGGCGGACAGAACATCAATTCAGATATAAATGAACTACATTTACATTGGATACCTATTGACTTATGTCACAGAATGAAGTAGAAAATGCAATTTACTTGTAAACCATTAAAATGAATGAAAATAGAATTTCAAACTCCATCTTCAAACATAACTTTATTGACTTGGCCGTGAGCCTTCAGGGAGTATATAACTAAGTTTAAAATATATAAATAACACCCTAATTCATTTTGCCATAAAAGAGTTAGTGTTTTATCACCTAAAAGCCATGGAATTTACTAAGTTAGAATTAAGACAAAATAAAGAAAGGTCACAGAGCACAGTGTGAAGACCTATATTAGGGTCTTGTAGGGGTTTTCGGAATTTAGCTCCCCCGTAATCTGTTTTTGTCCAAAATCCGGCATCTGTACAGGTCCCAAGGGCATTGGCCCATATCTTAGTAAGAAGAGTTCAGAATTAGAGCCCTTGTGAGAGAGAGACAGAGAAAGAGAGAGCAAGAAGAGGAGAGGGAGGGAGAGAGAGATGGGGTACTGCTGGGGGGTTCAGTCAGATCCAGTCATCCCAGCATCACAATGTAGACCGAAACTGGGAACCGCATGTCAGGTGTCTGTACTGGACTTTCATTGGCTGAAGGGGAAAGTCATAAGATATTCAGAGAAAGATTAGAAGCATTTTTATAATTACTAGAGAGTGAGGGGATTTGAACCATTTACCGTAAAACATCGCTACATCTCTGAAATGATTGCTTTCACTTTTCATTTAGATACTGAGCGTAAAACAGACAAGAGTTCCTGTCTCAGAGCTTCTCAAGTGCACAGTCATGGAACAAACCTTGAAGAAATTCTAAGCTGTTGTTTGTATGGATGACACCTCAGATCTAGCAAAATGGCCAATAACTGCCTTTGAATGAGAGTCCTAGCCAACTGTCTCAGCTGTGGAAACCTCCCAAGGGAGGTGTGGCAGAGTGTTTGTTGTTGTTGTTGTTGTTGTTTGTTTTGGTACGTGCCCCTAGCGGGAACCAAACCTGGGACTCCCTGGTCCGCAGACCGGCGCTCCAACCGCTGAGCCAAATCGGCCAGGGCGTGGCAGAGTGTTTTAAGGGAAACCCTACCCCGCCAACTTTCCCTTTCTTTTGGATTTCTCCTCAAATTAAAGGGCAAGGTGCTCACGAAAATGTGATGTACCCAGAGCAGCATGTTCCAAAGCATATTCCCAAAGTGTTGACCAAGAGAGAGAGGTTTGCGAAAAATTAAAAATGAAACTGCCATTTGACCCAGTGGTCCCACTTCTAGGAATATACCCTAAGAAGCCTAAAACACCAATCAGAAAGAATATACATACCCCTATGTTCATAGCAGCACTATTTACAATCGCTAAGATCTAGAAACAGCCCAAGTGTCCACCAGTAGACGAATGGATAAAAAAGCAGTGGTACATATACACAATGGAGTACTATGCAGCTGTAAGAACGAAAGATCTCTTGTCCTTTGAGATGACATGGAGGGACCTGGAGAGTATTATCCTAAGTGAAACAAGCCAATCAGAGAAAGACAAATAACACATGATCTCACTTATTTGTGGAATATAATGAACAATACAAGCTGATGAACAAAACAGACCCAGAGACACAGGAGTGGGGTACAGACTGACAAACCTCAGAAGAGGGGGGTGGGGGAGGGAAGATATAAACCACAGAACTTACATGTACGTATGTGTAACCAATGAACATAGACACATAGACATCAATGCTGGGGGTGGGGATGGGATCAGGAGAAAGGTGTCAATGGGGAAAAAGGAGAAACACCTGTAACAAAAATAAATTAACAAAAAATAAAATAAAATAAAAAGAGAGAGGTTTGTTGATGAAGGATATCCTGGTCAAATATCTTTAGGAACTTTGACATTAACTCCTCTCTCCAACCCCTTGGAAAGTCACAGGGCACCATATTAAAGGTTCTGAAAAGTCCTGCAGTAAAAAAAAAAATCTTTAATAATTTTGTTCTACCCGTTCTCTGCTTAATTAAACACAGGAGTTTCCTTCCCATACATGCAGATTTTGTGTTCCATAGAGTACAGGTCTGGACATATTAATGATGATAAAAATACTGAAAAAACATGAAATGAAGCATGCCAAGCCAAGTAAATCTATTTTTTATCCTAGAGAAAAATGGGAAGCCTCTCTCGGTGCTATTGAGCACGGCTCCTGGGACCCGGCGGCTTCCTCAGACTCAGGAGCAGGAGGCTCTCCACACATCGGAACCGGTGCCCTCTTTCCTGGCGCTTGGGCGTTGGTCCCCTAACAAACACCAGGTACCCTTCCATTGAGGAGCGCATGCCCAGACAGGCACAGCTGCCCGTGCCCCTCCAGGAGAAGCACCTTCCACACTCTGACCCATCAGCAGGACCTCGTGCAGGTATTACCGCAGGTACCACAGGACGCGTTGACACGGCCTTGTCTGTGCCCGGAGAAGAACAGAAAAGCTCCTCCAGTTTATTCCTAACCTCTAATCCATCAAGAAACTGTCCACAAGATAAATTGGAGCTAAGCTGACTTTTGTTAATAATGTAGCGATTTTGAAAGTGCAGCTTTAATCAAGGGGAAAATTTTCCAGAATTTGACCACCTTTTCCATTCTGCCTGGTGGAGGCTCATTTTTTTTAAAACTGTCTAATGCTGTGTTCGGTGGTGTTCAATAGGAAGCAGTCTATAATGCAATGCACTCCCTTTATGTGATGTTTAGATATGAGATTGATCTTGGCGGACACCCTGGAGTTCTGAAAGTAGGATTATCGGATTCCATGGCTTTGTCAGATGTCGAAGATCTTTAGACAGTGTCTTGCAAAGTTGCTACATCCTGCCTGTCTGTGAAACACTTATGAACTCATCAAAGAAGGTAGACTCCATGTTAATTAGACGTGGTGGGCAAAGGGGGGCTGGCAGCTGACTTCCTCTCGCCGTTGAGTTAAGTGCCGGGACCATGGCTACTTTCATACCTTGAAAAGAAAAGTCAGTGCATCCGTCTCAGGATCAATAGGGCCTTAACAGCAAGATGCTGACACAGAATGGCATTCAGAATTCAGAGAAGCGGGGGGCGGGGGGGGGGGGCAGAGGCAGATTGTAAAAGCGGAATTTTGGCGGCGTGTGATCTCAAGACTCCTCGAGAAAACAGGAATAGCTTTGGACTTCAGCAAAGCCAGATGGGGCAGCAGAATGAGGCTGGCCTCCTGGATTGTGGGTCAAATTTAGGAAAAACAAGGCAATCAGGACACGATGTATCTCCTCTGACTTGAAAAGTGCCCTAGGCAGCCACTGTGGGAAGACCCTGCTGTGGCCCCGAGAGTATAGAAATAAGCAAACCTAAGGACAAGTCACCACCCTGACGCCTGGCTGTCGGGCATCAGGACTGCCCGGGAGCAAACTGGGCATTCCTGCAGGGGACAGCAGTGGGGACCCTTGGAGCACTATCTGACACCGTCGCCCTGCCAGCCACTATGGGGCCGCTGGGGAGGATACCGGCTCTCCTGCTCCGACTTGCAGCCAGCGGACAGCATAGCAGCCAATCCATAAAGGCACATGAATGAGAATCAATAGGTTTTCTCGTTTCAGTTTTCCTCCCATAATTTATTTTAACTATTAGCACGTCTATTCACATGTTTATATTCGAATAGAGAGTACAATTATATATGACATGGCACAAAATGATATGGCCTTATTTCCCATGGAAATATCCGTAGCGCAGGTTTATTGACCACTGCCGGGGCTTTGGGGACAGCGGGGGTCTCTGAGCGAGCCCAGCTGCTCCCACCGCATACTGACGCTGACCAGGGCTGCCTTTGCAACGCCTCGGCCGCAGCGAGATGCCACGGCACCCCTGTGAGAGCAGCGCACATCCAGACCACTGACACCCCACACGCCAAGGGCAGAGCTGCAGAAACGCTCACCGTAACCGGTGGGACTGTGGAATAGTTCAGCCCCTTTGGAGGGCAACACTCGACGTACTTGTGCCACACGATCCGGCAGCTGCCCTCCTCGGGATTTACCCAAAGCAGCTGAAAACTCGTGTCCGTGCAGACAGCTGCACACAGATGTGCACAGCGGCGTATTCATAACCGCCAGAGCTTGGAAGCAAGCGACCTTCAGTAGGCGAATGGATACTACACAGTAGCATGCTGAGACAATAAAGTATCATTCAGCGCTAATAAGCTCTCAAGCCCTGAAAGACATGGGAGAACTTTAAATACATATTCCTAAGGGAAAGGAGCCCATCTGAAAAAACTACATACTGTGTGACTCCAACTATAGGACGTTCTGGAAATGGCCAAACTATGCAGATACTTAAAAAAATCAGTTGCTGCCAGGGGCGGTGAGGTTGGTGGGGGTGGGGAGGGACCAGGCGGAGCACAGGGCACTTTTACGGCAGTAAAAATACTCCCTGTGATACTATAATAATGGACATACATCAATAAGCATTTATTGTTAACGAAGGTATTTTTATTTTTTTATATTTTTCAATTTTTATTTATTTTTGTTACAGATGTTTCTCCCCCCCCCCACTGCCTCCTCCCATCCTGCCCCCCCCACCGCTCAGTAAACATTTGTCCAAACCTAGAAGGTCCAGCACCAAGAGAGAAGCCTGCCGTAAGCTGTGGACTTTGGGTGACGGTGACGTGCCAAAGCAGGTCCGTCAGTGGTGACAACTGCGCCCTCAGTGGGCGTGTGGATAAAGAGGGAGGCACGTGGACAGGGGCGGAGGAGATGGGAAATCTCTGCACCTGTTTCCTTAATGTTTCTGTGAACCTAAAACTGCTCTAAAAATAGGAAGTATTTTTCAAACTCGAAAAAGACCACCCACCCACTGGGTGCCCACACTTAGGCCCCACCTCAGACACAGAGAGCCCCGTGCTGTTGAATCGTGGGGCGGCCACGGGCGATGGGGGTGAGGTCAGCCTGGGCCAGTCCGCCGCAGCAGGCTGGCTGGTCAGAGGGCTGGTGGGTGGCAGGTGCCCTTCAGCTCAGCAGCTGGCGGGGCCCCTCAGACACGAAGCCCCACTCACCTGCCACCGCAAACCTCAGACGGCCTGAAAGACGCCGCGGCGGAGGCCGAGGAGCCGGGGACACTGACCGCCTCTGCCGCCCACGCTCCCTGCGTGTGCAGCCCCGCACGAGCCAGCCAACCCCTGCCGTCCGTACCCTGCCCGAGGCCCAGGCTCCCTCTTTCCTTGCTTGTCAGCCCCCCGCCCCATCTGCCTCAAATGGTGCCCGGGGGCTCCCCGCGCCCTGCCGCCTGGGCTGTGGGACTCTGGGGCCGGCCGGGGCTCTTTCTCTCCACGGCGCTTGGGTCAGCCTTTCCTCGAGCTCTCAAGCCCCGAAAGACCCGGGCGAACTTCAGATACACATCCCAAGGGAAAGGAGCCATCTGAAAAGACCACATACTGTGACTCCAACTATAGGACGTCCTGGAAATGAACACGTGAACCCTGCAGGACTCACCAGAAGGGACACGGGAGAAGGAAATGCCCCGCGTGTCCAGTACTCAGGGGCAAAGGGACAAGGAGCCATAACAAGTGGTCGTCAGCACTGCGCCCGACACACACAGACAGACACACAGACACACACACGCCCAGACCCCCAGACACACCCAGACATACACAGTCACACACAGACACACAGACACACCCAGACACACAGACACACACACACACCCAGACACCCAGACACACACAGACACACACACACAGAGTCACACCCAGACACACCCAGACACACCCAGACACACCCAGACACACACACACACACACAGACACACACACACCCAGACACACCCAGACACACAGACACACACAGACACACAGTCACACACAGACACACAGACACACAGACACACAGACACACACAGACACACGCAGACACCCAGACACACCCAGACACACAGACACACACAGACACACCGACACACCCAGACACACCCAGACACATTTCCACACACGCGTGCTTCATCCCAGAGGTGACGCTTGTCTCCAGGGACTACACTCTCCACACAGCCTGTTTCTAAGGGAGGAGACGGGCCAATGCCTCCATGTCACAGTGGGTTTAGGATTCAGACTCCTGTAAGCGAGACTCGTTCACCCCTTAAGAACTGTTCGACCTCAAGAAGAATCCTCTTTCTTTCCGAACCCCCGTTTCCTCCGCAGGTAAATGAAGATGAACTCCCTTTCCTGCCGGTCTCACAGGATGGGCACGTTACAAGGTCCTGGGCAGGTGAGTGTTACACCACAGGACCTCTTCCCAAGGGTCTGCCCGGAGGAACTAGAGGAACATTATACATCTGGGGAATTCAGATGTAAAGCGGAAAGGCGCTCCCGGGCCCCCTCTGGCACTGCCGCACCCGACAGGGAGCCTGCTCAGTACGCGCCCACGGGCTCCCCGCGGCCCGGAGCGTCTCTCCATTGTGACTCACCATGGCCAACATCAGAATATCAGTCAGGCTGTTCACATGCAGAGTCCTAGGATCTACTCCAGGTCATGGAGACAGACTCGGGCCGAATCAGCCTTGTAAGTGACTGTGCACACCAGGACGGAGCCACAGAACTGAGGCCAGGGATAACAGTAATGGTGACCACCGCAATCGCAAAAGTTCAGAGGAGTTAAACTTCCCTTGACACATGAGACACTCCCCTAAGTGCCTGGCGTGCACCAATGCGTCAGTGGCCAGTCACGCTCCGAAGGAAGTACTCTGCTTATCTCCAACTTACAGACGAACACACGGGGCTACGGAAGCAGGTGACCTCCCGGGGTCACACGGGCACTAAGTCCCGAGGCTGAGGTTCCCTCCCAGATCCTGGACCCCCAGTGTACACACACCCATCACACCTATGGGCCACAAACGAGAGAAAGTCCACGGCTGTGCAATGTCCCTGGCCGCGGGCCGGCTATGCCCCGGGTTGTGCTGGGACTGAACCGGCAGCTCCCAGACTGAAGATCCCTCTCGGGGCTCACAGACCCCTCAGCACCCAGCCCTCTCATCCCATTATGTTCTGCTGCTTGAGATGCGTTTATGATGTTTAATTTATATCCCTTGATCATAAAGTGATTGCATCACTAAAAAGGCTGTGACGTTGATTTATACGCTAGTTGCCTGTGTGTGTTAATTAGAGAAATATCATTTGGCTTCCCACAGAAGGAAAACGATAAATTACAGAGGAGGGGGTACAGCACTCATCCGCCAGACCTGTGTCAGTTACTCCCCCTGAACCTTATTTACGATCCCACCCGATGCTACTCCATTTCCACCAGCAACCTTCGGGAACACACTGGGACCTGGGTTGAGAGAGAAGGAAGGACAGAAAAGAAAATGCGGGGAGTAAGCATGTAAGTGTCCCTCTGTGTCTGGCGCCCACGGACACTCATGCACAGAGCTGAGATGTGGCCGACGGGCCAGCACCCCCCAGTGTCCTTCCTCGGACACCCTCACCCCACCCACGCAGGCAGCCAGGACTCTCTCCAGCAAAAGAACTTGCCAGAGGAAGGGGTGCCTCTCAGGAACAGTGGCCACGGATTTCCTAGGCCGTGGGCCTGCACAGGGACTGCCTTTTCTCCAAGTGTCAGTGACCGCATTTATGCCAGAAGGTCAGTACGAAGAAAACTAGTTTTATTCTTCCCTCAGTGGTTCACACATTCCGTAAACATTACCAGGCACCGACTACATCTCAGACACGGAGACAGCTGGGCGCATACGGTCGTCAGGAGAAAGGGTCAGAGCACAGCCTCGCAGAGCTGACCTCCAGCAGGGATGATGCCACGAATCGGGTGTCAAACCATCGACCTGAAAGAGCAGCCACGCCGCGAGCTGTAGAGGAGGAGTGGAGGGACGGTGAGAGCCTCCTCAGGGAACCGGCAACATCGAGCTCAGTGCTAAGGATGAGCTCACTGGGTTCGGACGGAGGGAAAAGCATTCCAGGAAGGAGGAACAGCATGGACAAGAGCTGCAGGGAGCAGAATGAACCCAAAGGACTGAAAAGAGCCTGTGTGACCACAGCAGCCGCGAGGGGTGCGGGGCGGGGCCGGGGAGCCTGGGGCGAGACACACGAGGTCTCCAAGCCGGGGCACAGAAGTAGCTTTTATCGAGCAGAGATGCCACTGTGGGGGGTTGAGCTGGGCAGGTGGTGGTATGATCAGATGTGCATTTTGAAAAGGTCACTGTTTTACACCTTGTAAGGACTTGGAGTTCCCTGAGATTAAAAGGGCTATCACATTAGGTTTAGGTGAGCAGCCCCCGGGTGGGGCGAAACACTGAAATGTCATGGCTGCGGCTAAACCAGGGCTTGTACACTGAGCGGGGTGTCTCTCCTGCCCAGCCCCCCGCCCTGGCCCATCCGTGTGTTCCCATCAGATTCCTGCACGGAGCGTCTGTCCGAGCTGGCAGGAGGTGGCAGTAATGCAGGGGCAAGGTGGAGGGATGGGGGAGGACAGCCACACCTGCACCCCGCCGGACCCGGCCAGGTTGGAGACCAGGTATGACGGGTGAGAGCTGGGAGGTGACACCGGGAGACTGCTGCCATTTGCTCCTTCTCTCCCTCTCCTCTGACACCCTCCTTGACCACTCACATGGGGGTGGCCCGCACGGGGCCCGCTGCTGCCACGGGAATGACCCAGCGCGTCTATTCGCGTCTCCATTAGGAGCACCTTTCACCAGAGGAGGGCAGCAGTGTCCCTTTGTTCCTCTCTTCGCCTCTAGGACATGGCACGGTCCCTGCCGCACAGTAGGTGCTCAGCCTGCTTGTGTGCGATGAATGAAGGGTAGTGAGTGAGTCACGGCGTCAGCAGTGCCAGGACACGTGCTGACGCAGGCGAGAGAAGAGCACCCAGCTGGGGTGTGGAAGGCAAACAGTGCGGAATACCTCCCTCCCTCCACGGGGCCGGGGCGCCCTTTCCAGCAGCACCGGCGTGGGGACCAGCAGGAAGCAAGGGAAGCACCATGCGGACACCGGGAAGAAGCACCCTAGGCCGAAGACAGGCCAGTGCGGCGGTGACAAGAACCCTTAGAATCCAGGGGTGACTCACAGTTGACCCCACCCTACCCCACCTTCCTTTTTGGTCCGCGGATTTAGAAGAACGAGATTGTTACTCCCAAGGTTAAGACACTCGATGCCCACGTGAGGGGACTCCCTGGGGTCACAGCAGGAGCCGCTAGGACCGCTTCAGGCCTGTGAACAGGTAAGATTTCTAGGAAGGGGAGCTGTGGTTCTCAGCCGGAGACGCGCGTGGAAATTCTTGTTAAATTGTCCTCATCCAACATAGCTGTGCTGCCCACCTCTACTCTCCAAGGGGGAAGACATGTCTTTATAAAGACGTGGCATAATCGGAGCGACCAGAGGTAAGCAGCAGCCCACCCACGTGCACTGACTGTCTCCCAGCCCAGGAGGTGACTGTCAGCCTCACAGTCCTCCCGAGGCCTCGCTCCTCCCCTTCAGTGCCTGCTTTGCATACAGTAGGTGGTTAAACTTGTTGTATATTCACTGCCGAAACATCTTAAAGGACTGAACTCGATTATAGGCTGAGGCTGGAAGATTTTTCTCTGACTTTTATATCCGGTCATTGTATACATTTGCATTGTATTGTTTTTCTAAATTGAACAAGTTGGAAACCGTGAACGTGGTGGTAGATCATTGCTTGGGTGGCTCCCAATGAACCCCACTTCCCAGTATGCACACCTCTGGGTAGCCCCTTCCCAGGAAGAGCCGGGCTCGATCATGTGACCGGCCTTGGTCCCTGGCCAATGACAAGCGCGGTGCAGACAGAGGACTCCGGCACGACCCAGACACACCGTGGGCCACACCGGCCATTTCTCACCTGTGCTTGGTTAATCTCCGCTCTCGCCATCGGAAATTCTTAGTTCTGGATCAGGGGGCGCTGCTGCCTGTGCTGGTCAGGTCAGAAGGGACACCCTCCGTAGCAGAAAGCTGGTGTCCCAGCGACCACGGCCACGCCACAGAACGGCAGTTCTGTGGTTCCTAGGCTTTGCACTGCTGCTGTTAAACTTGTTAACGTGCAGAAAGTCCTTGTCTTCATTCATTCACTCATTTAGTATTTTATGAATGCTTAGGGAATGTCAGGAGCCACACTAGTCTTTTTTTATTATTTATTTATTTTTGTTACAGATGTTTCTCCTTTGTCTTCCCCTGATTCTCCCCTCCCCCCCTCCTCACCCTGTCCCCAGCTTTGTTGTCCATGTCCACTGTTCATGCACACATGCATATACATTCTGTGGTTTATCTCCCTCCCCTTCTTCTGGGGATTATCAGTCTGTACCTCACTTCCACGTCTCTGGGACTACCCCGTTCCTCAGACTGTTATGTTCATTATATTCCACAAATAAATGAGATCATGTGGTATTTGTCTTTCTCTGCTTGGCTTGTTTCGCTTAGAATAATACTTTCCAGGTCCCTCCATGTCTTCTCAAAGGACAAGAAATCTTTCTTTCTTACAGCTGCATAGTGCTCCATTGTGTATATGCACCACTGCTTTTTTATCCATTCGTCTACTGATGGACATTTGGGCTGTTTCTGGATCTTAGCTATTGTAATAGTGCTGCTACGAACATGGGGGTACATATATTCTTTCTGATTGGTGTTTTATGCTTCTTAGGGTATATTCCTAGAGGTGGGATCACAGGGTCAAATAGGAGTTCAATTTTTAATTTTTTGAGGTAACACCATATTGTTTTCCATAGTGGCTGCACCAGTCTGCATTCCCACCAGCAGTGTACTAGAGTCCCCTTTTCTCCACACCCTCGCCAACACTTGTTGTTTGATGATTTACTGATGGCAGTTATTCTGACAGGTGTGAGGTGACACCTCATTGTTGTTTTAATTTGCATCTCTCTGATGATTAGTGATGCTGAGCATTTCTTCATATGTCTCTTAGCCATTTGTATGTCCTGTTTGGAGAGGTGTCTATTTAGTTCCTCTGCCCATTTTTTAAATTGGGTTCTTTGTCTTCCTTTTGTTGAATTGTATGAACACTCTCTATATATTGGAAATTAACCCCTTATCTGATATATCATTGGCAATTATGCTCTCCCATACAGTGGGTTGCCTTTCCATTTTGATGATTGTATATTTTGTTGTGCAGAAGCTTTTTAGTTTGATGTAGTCCCATGTGTTCATTTTCTCCTTTGTTTCTATTGCCTTAGGTGATGTATCAGTGAAAATTCTGCTGCATATGATGTCTGAAATTTTGTTGCCTACATTTTCTTCTAGGATTTTTATGGATTCAGGAGTCATATTTAAGTCTTTTATCCATTTTGAGTCTATTCTTGTGTATGGTGTAAGTTGATGGTCTAGTTTCATTTTTTGCATGTAACTGTCCAATTTTCCCAACACCATTTATTAAAAAGGCTGTCTTTACTCCACTGTATGCTTTTGCCACCTTTGTCAAATATTAATTGAGCATATTGCCTTGGGTCCATTTCTGGGTTCTCTGTTCTGTTACACTGGTCTATATGCCTGTTCTTGTGCCAGTACCAGGCTGTTTTGATTACAGTGGCCTTGTAGTAAAACCTGAAATCTGGTAATGTGATCCCTCCAACTTTGTTCTTCTTTTTCAAGATTGCTGTGGCTATTCGGGGTCTTTTTTGGTTCCATATGAACT